CTGAGAAGAATGAGCAAGACTCTAGGGGTTGCTCTTATTAAATAAACATTTATACACTTATATCATTTACAATATTTACTTCAAACATAATAGACCAAGAGTACCTACAAGAACTAAACGGGCACTACAAGGGATTTTTGTCATCCAAGTACGCTGAAGCTCTTTCCTTTCTTAACTGCCTCTGTGGCCGAATAGTTACCATGCCACGCAGAAGTCCCGGGTATGGTTCCCTGGCCGGGAGAAATATTTGTATGGCCTACAGTTATTTTTAATAATATCTCAAATTAAACAAAGAACTATTCTGGTTCTAGGCCAATCACGGACACTTTTTTGTTTTATTTGTTTTGTAGTGTTTGTTTCTAGGCTAGTGCAAGTGTTGTTTTTAGGCTTTCGTTTCAGTTTGTTGGTTGTGATTCATGATTTTAATTTACTCCTAGAAAAAATATTTTCTTCAATCATTGCATAATTTTGTTAATATCTTAAAATCCTGTACCTGACTTTAAGAACTCTCATTATGCAACGATTGCATAAATTACTATTAGTATAAAGATTTCATTTCACTGTAGTTTTATTAACCTTATTATTTTTTACTAAGTAATATCGGGAAAATAATGAAAAGTCTTACCGTTAAACCTGTAATTAATGATTATGATTTAGGGTACTGTTTCATGACCACAGTTACCAGGAAATAATAAGGCAGATGAGCAACAAAATTGGAAACCTAAATAAAAATACATTGGTGTACCTCTCGACACAAATAAGCGTAAGGTTGCTTGTTAAGCAACTGAAGGCTTTTATTATTTGCTGTTACTAACATTATCATATTGCCCTCTTTGTCATAACTAACGCATCAATATATTTAAAGTTTTACTTTTTTAATGTTGGTTTTTTAATGGTTTTTCGGTCTTACTTACTGCGCTCCGATTTGGAACTGTAAAGGTGCTGGTGAAATTACAGGCACACGAGACTTGTCAACTTATGGGTGACGGTGCCACTGCGCGGCAGTGCCACTGCGCGGCAGTGCCCCTCAGACCAGACACACGACTTGTTCGTCCCGTCTCTTGGTATCGTAAAAAAAAACAGTTCCAACTCGGAAACATACGCACTTTATAAAATCGAATGTTATCATTTTCGTTCAGGTGCAGGCGTGCATGTGTTCGCACGTGCACGCCTGCACGTGCACTATGTGTATATGTTTGTTATTTTATTGTCTGTTCGGAACCATTACGGGCTGTGACATCAGCTAGGGCTGTGTACTCCATAGTCTATATGCCTATTTTACATTGTTTATTTTCTTATTAACTAGTTATACCTGCCATGAAACTCTATTTGTGTTTTAGCTCTGCAAAAGACGACCCTAGCCTTAGAGGAGGCCCGTGCCGGGCAGTGGGATCTAACACTTCTGTAATTTTTGCGGATATTGACAAAACAAGTCACGAAAGTTTAAGCGCAATCGGATGAATAATAATGTATTATACTGCATTTTCAAGCGACTTCAAGAAAGAAGGACGTTCTCAATTCGACTGTACCTTTTTTGTGTGTATGTGAACCGATTTTGATGATTCTTTTTTGTTGGAAAGAGGATGCCTCACTATGGGTTTCATTTCATCATTCAGCCATACGACGCCCACTGCTGGGCATAGCCCCCCCCCTAACGATCTCCACGACGATCGGTCCTGCGCTGCCCGCATCCATCGGCTTCCCGCGACCTTTACCATATCGTTGGTCCATATTTTGTCCTACGTCTGAACGTCGTACGGTGCGCCATTGAAGAATGTGTCTATCAATCTATGTGCCCCGTCCACTGCTACTTTAGCTGAGCAATTCTTCGAGCTATGTCGGTTACCTTAGTACTCCTATGGATTTCCTCATTTCTGATTCTATCACGTAGGAAAATACGGAGCATTGCTCTCTCCATTGCCCGCTGAGTGACCTTGAGTCTCCTTATGAGGTCCATAGTGAGGGATCACGTTTCCGATTCATATGAGAACACTGGCAACACACTGGGTCAAAGACTTTTCGTCTTGAGATATTGAGGTAATTTGGACGCGAAGTTTTTTTGTAGTTTCCCGAACGCTGCCCATCCGAGCTGGATTCGACGAGAGATCTCTTTCTCAAAGTTGGGCTTACCTAACTGGACTGTCTGTCCCAGGTACCTATACGTAATGGTCAAATGCTCGAGTGTAGTGTTCCCAATTTTAACTGGTACGGGTACATAGGGCATTCGACATGATCTTCGTCTTGTCCATGTTCATCTTAAAACCCACTCTTTGGGAAACACTACTGAGATCTTCGAGCATTGTGTTCAGGTCTCCCAAGGTCTCAGTCATAAGAACTATATCATCGGCAAATCGAAGGTGTGTTAGATACTCGCCGTTGATGTTTATGCCAAGTCCTCTCCGGTCCAGAAGCTTGAAAATATCCTCCAACGCAGCAGTGACAATTTTGGAGATATCACATCTCCCTGTTTCACACCTCGTTGCAGTTGGTTAGGATTAGAGCTCTGATCCTGTAATAGGACTGACATAGTGGCGTTTTTGTATAGGTACCTTAACACCTCGATATACCTATAGTCTATTTGGCACCTTTGGAGAGACTGCAGCACTGCCCAGGTCTTGATCTAATCACAGGCCTTCCCATAGTCCACAAACGCTAAGCAAAGTAACCGGTTATACTCCTCGGTCTTCTTGTATAACCTGCCGCACCGTATGGATGTGGTCTATGGTACTAAAACCCTTTCGGAAACCGGCTTGTTCGGGAGGTTGGAAGTCGTCAAACCTGCGAACGAGACGATTCGTGATAACTCTTGAAAACAACTTTTAGATATGGCTCAGAAGCGAGATTGGCCGATAGTTCTTCAAGAATGGTTTATCACCCTTTTTGAAGAACAGAACGACCTCGCTTCTGCCCCATGCCTTTGGGCGTTTCCATTTAAATTCCATTTTAAATTTTTCGATTCCATTTAAATTTCAAGAAAATACTCCATCTCTAAGGGTGGCAAACTAGAAGATGAATCCGGTTTCGCGAATTTACCGGTAATCGAATGTAATAAAACTTGGCAAAAAGATGTAATTTCACCAACTTTTGAGGTCTGTGTTTTTATAAAAAAATTTAATATAATAAAAAAACTTTATTCTTCAAACACGCACGCACGCACGCACGCCCGAAGCCCGCCCGCAGCACCCACGCACGTGACGATATCTGTTGCAAAATAAGCCATTCCTTGCATTTTCGTTTGAATAAAGCAATTATGGTTATGATATGATAAACCTTACTATCACGAATATCCGTAATTAGTAACCGCTCCATTTTAACGAGGCCGTAACCCTATACATAATTAATTCATCCATACCCCAGCTATTAATTACTAATGGACAGCTTTATTAGCCTAAAACCATTGTTGAAAAGATTTACGAGAAATGAATACATCGGAGGGCTAAATGGACGTGGTAATGGAACGTAGACTCGTCAATTTTCTACACAGAACTAAATGCTCTAGACTAAATGCCCGAAAAACCTAGGCAGAAATAGCTATATGTTTGTAACTTGATAATATTAGACATAAATTTTTGATGACTTTACCAACCCAGTCAGCAGTGATCATGGGACTTGTAAAGGGTCCGAAACGTTACTTCGTTTGAAAAAGTAAATATTCTATTATAAAAAAAGCAAAGTTTTATTGGACAATGTATGAAATCCTGTAAAATGGGTTCATCCCCTAATTTGCCACCCTTAAGAGGTAGAATATTTTCTTCAAATTTGAATGGGACGACAACTGAGGTACCCAATTTCCAACCAAAAAAGAATCATCGAAATCCGTTCACAGATGTCGGAGTAATCGCGTAACATACACACGAAAAAAAAAATACGTTGAATGAGAACACCGTTTTTTTTAAGTCGGTTAAAACTATACCTTCAATGAACACTATGAAAATCAAATTTTTGGACCTGTTCTGTTTTAATTTTGTTTTGTGTTTCTTTATTTTTTATTACAAAATTCGTTTTTTGTTTTTTTTGCATTTCATTTTTTGTTTCCTTACTTTTTTTTTCAGTAAATTCAGGGAGCATAATATTAGTAAATGAAATAACGTAGTTGTTTACAAAAATTACCAAAACATAAAGTTCGCCTAGTGTTCATTAGAGATAACGAAAAATAGTATCATCACAAATAGGTTTCATTTCGAATGACATGTAAAGCCAGATGATACACATTAGCGAGCTGTATCTGCAACGTGTCAGATACAGTAACGAGGTTCTATCGTGCTCGCTAGAATGAGTATTTGATTATCGTCGGCTCACTGCGAACCGCACGCGTTCCGCTCGCAGCAAGCTCGCAAGCCGTACTCACTGATTGTTTGTTATATAGCAAGCAATGATTGCAGTTACAGCTTGCTAGTGAGTACCCGGCTTAACAATCGCGATCACCTTAGCGATAATATCTGTATATATATTAATAAATTTAGTCCTAACTCATGAAAGGTAGGTACAGTAAGTATCAAAAACCTACACGAAAAATTGCCTAAGTTACACTTAAATGTTGCAATATAATTTCGAACCCCAGGATAAAGTGGTTCGACAGTATACATATATGTTCGTCCTTACAAAACATTGAAACTGGATTCTCGCCAACAAACTTGTTTAGAAATTTTAGCAAAATACACGTACTTTCTCATAAACTCATAAATAAATAAGCAACTTGAGTGTGATAAAGGAGCTACACATTTGCCGATGTAATTAACGTAACCCAGCACTGACGACGGTCCTGTCATTCCAACAGAAAACCCGTGGTATTAATGGCATGTTTTTGCTGACCCTCCTGACTTGCAGCTCTAGGTCTATTTTGTTGGAGAAAAGCTTTTAGAGGCTCCTGGATTGGAAATAGAAGGTATAACGTTGCTTTTGAAAGGGATGAAAAATATTTTTTGCTTGCATTGGTACGTTGAGAGAGTGTGTTATTAGTTTGTGTATGTTTAAAGTTTGGTTTTCATTTATTTATTTACCTTGTCCTCGGCTTCCTCTGCTCTGCCCTCGGCCTCCAGAACCCGCTGTTCGAGTTCCGAGAGCTGAAACAAATAAAAAAAGGAATTAGTTTAGGGCCCTTTACAATTGCTACTAGCAACGCCATCTAGTGAGTATCAAACAAAGTTTTTCGCTGAAGTCCTTCAGGATACGTTATTCAACGCGAACCATAGTGACTTACTCAGCAAGCTATCCACATAGTTCCAGCACCACTCAACAGATGGCGCTGACAGCTGCGCATATTTTATTGAACCACGTGGTTTTGGTTTTGCAGAGGCGACGAACTGTAGGTACCGAGTACATGTATGTATAGTAAGCTATTTATCAGGGAGGCTGTAGAAAAGGTATTATTGTTATGTAAGAGAGTATTCGTGCGGTTTCCGAGGCGCGGGGGCCGGGGGGAATCGGTTCGCGAAAGGGTGGCTCGCAAATGTTACGGCGCAGTGATATAACGTGTGTTAAGACAGGAGTAAGATTGTATTTGAAAGGTTTATTTCATGGTCTATTCGCGGAAGATGTTGCAAACAAATTGTATTTTTATTGGCATTCCAATAACGTGACGATTTCTGCGGAAAATAAAAAAGGTAACATTACAAAGTGACTATTTGACATTGAACAAGGTGGTACTTTATAAATAAACAGAACATGAAAAACATAGGTTCGTTACAAGTAAATAAATAAGCATTCGACTAATACATAGTTTAATGCATAGGTATCTATGTACGTACAATGAGTAGGTACACACATATGTGAATATAGAAAGCACTCAGGCAAATAAAACGAATATTATGTTTATTTATGCCAACAAGGAGGTACAAAACCTACAAATAAACATAACTTGAGAACTTGAGTTCTATTATGTTTGAAAGGAATTTTTATACATATACCGTATGAAAATATTCTATCGAAGAAAGATTCAAAGAACGTTGTTATATAAAATATTGAAAATCATAAATGCAACTCGAATCAAAGGAAGCGTGTTCAATAAATCGAAACTAACTTAATCTTTTAGTAAAAAGAGAAATTTTATTTACTCAAACAAGGACTGAGAACGTAGAAGAATAATAAATCTGGCAGCGGGGAAGTGTTGTTTCATCAAATACCTGACAGGGTTTCAGGGTTTTCCTGATGTCTGAAGATTTTGTTAGATAAGCTTAATGTATCGAGTAGGTTGTATACTTTAGGTTGTTTGGAAAAATATGTGTATATTTTTTTAAACCTCCTCCTCGCTTCGTATTCCTCATTAATAAGGGTCGTGACTTCCACGTGGTTCTGCACGACAACGCTGCGCCATCTGCGGCTGTCTTTCACATAGTTGAGTGCATCCTTTTAATATTTGTCGTCGAAAAATTACTGTACTGTAATAGCATTTTTGTAATGGAAGCTTTTGAAATTGTTCATTTAATTGATATTACATTTTTATTTTTATTTGGTTGGGTTATTATAAATTTTGTGTATTGTACAATAAGGGCCAGAACATACATAGTTCGAGATGAGATATTTTTAATTTGTGTTCTTTAGAAAGGGTAGAGGTACAAGTTCTAGCTTATGATTTTAATCCAACTCTATAACGCTTACAACAAGTACGGTCCAAAGAACAAAGTGTCAAGCATGATTTGCTCTAGGTTGTACCAGTCGGTGTAAATTGACAAAAAGAAATCTTACCACCACTTAAGATAACTCATTGTTAATTTTGTTTTCATAGGAGATTCTCAGTAAGAAGTTACAAACTTAACTGTGTTTCGTTTAATAATAATAATAGTGGAATTCATTCTGAGGCAGTACAGTACTTCAGACCGGAAACAATTTAGAAAAGTTTATTCCCAAATTGGTTCTACCAGGCATCGATTCCCGGACCTACGTGTCCAGTGTCCACAGCGCCAATTCATTGAGCCCCTGTGGGTCTTCCAATCGTTTGCCTTCCAAATGTTATCTGGTTGCTACAAACTTTAAGATCAAAACTTTGGCTCAGGAAGCAAAGGGCTAAAATTTTAGTGAATGATGTTGAGAAAACGACTATAGCTAGTTGCTGTGGTGGGTTTCTCACCACATTGTTGGCTGAGTTAGCCAGATAGGAGAACAACAACAAAGGTAGTCGTCAATGATGAGAGATACGAAGGTATTGTTGTCGAAACCATTGTGTTTCCTCTGTTATTAAATTGTATTGTTAATGTACCTTCCGATGCGATGTTTATATTGGGAAACCGTATATATTTCTCAACGTTTTGTACAGGTAAATTAAAAATTCAAGTGTGCGTTTCCATTACGCAGTGCATTACGTCTTACTGGAGTCAATGATTCGATGATCCACCAGTAGTCGTCACTGTGGCCGCTAGATAAACAGGTCTCGATTTCAATTTTGGGTATGACGAATGTTGGAAATCTTTTCTAAATTTCGATATCTCCAATGAACAATACGCCAACTTTATGTTTGGTCATTCTCTGTTTTTGATGTAAACATATAATATAATACAAATAATTAAGGTATTTATTTTGCGAAAAAAAATAAAGAAACAAGAAACTAAATAAAAAAGAAAATAACCAAAAATGAAGTTGGTGTAGTGTTCTTTGGGGGTATCGATCTGAACTCGGTGATCTGGGTCACTGCTCAAGAGTCAATTTCGTTGCTCTGGCATTCATAGTACAAGGAATGCCCTAGTTTGAGACCAGGTAATAATCGTTTTTCCACTCTTGTACTTAATTCTGTCAATTATAATTTTATAAACCATATCAAAAACCCGCTCTTTTTTTTAGTTCTGAACCAAAATGTTGTTGTCTATGATACTCGCTACTGAACGGAAAATTTTTATTTTATTTATTACTTTTTAATTTCAAAAAAAGAACGTCGTATTTTTGCTAATTAAAATATCAAATATGACACCACTCCAACGCTCTACTACCTCCTGATTAAATATACATTAAATATTGGTTGTGTTTCATTATTTTAATTTACTCTTAGAAAAAGTATTGCATGCCATCACTACATAATGAAAATGTCGTACCTGAACTCGACTCGCCGAATACTATTAACTTCGACTCTTTCGTGAGTTGTATATTAATAATTACAACTTTTTTACAAATAAAATCGACTTCAAAAGTTTGTGTAAAATGTGTGTAAAATGCCTTTCATCCCCTATTTACCACCCTTACAGCTGGAATGTTTTCTTCAAATTTGAATGAGATACCCCGTTCCAACAAAAATGAATCATCGAAATCGGTTGACAAATGTCGGAGTAATCCCGTAGCATAGACAAAAAAATACAATCGAATTGAGAACTTCCTTCTTTTTTGAAGTCGGTTAAAAATGAAATTAAAATGGGCCAAGGGACAGTAGATTTCTTAGAAAAAAAATTGACATAGCCACTTAGGAAGGGTCACAATGGCGACTTTTAGAAGCGATACAAACGCGCGTCTCGGGTTAAGTCGCGCGTGTATGCAAAGGTATTATTACGGATTGTTAACGACTGCATATGACGCGCTTCTAACAGTGGCCTTGTGTACCCGCTCTTAGAGAGAAAATTTGTTTTGCCATCGTATTAAAAAGGTGTTCTCACATTATCGATATTATATCACTTACAAGTGTTAAAGTGTGTGACGTCATGACCACACTAGTCTCGGCACGTGACTCCGCCCATAGTCACATATCGCCACTAAATCGAGGTAATGGCAAACCACGTTTAAACGCGACAAAACACATTGACCTCCGAACTTCCTTTCAAGAAGGTTCTTGTAATATAACTTTGTAAAGAGTAGAGAGGGGTGCGAAGCTCACGATTATGTGGTGGGGGTATATTTATTGGGTAGTAACATGACACATTTGGGTCACTGTATGACGAGTACTCCTGCAAAGAATTGTCAATTTTATGTATAACATACATAGCTATCGGGCGCAGTGCTTTTTATAATGATATCAAGTGACGGTACGACCGACATGCCTGTCCATAACAGTAGCCACAGTCACTGCCAATGCGCGCTCATCCTGAGACATAAGTTGATAAGTCTCATATGCCTGTAATTTCATCACAAATTGTTGTACTGTATTATAAACGTCAGATATATCATCACTTTACCAGACGTGCAAAGTTCTGAAACTATAAATTACACGATAATGGTCTATAGTCATTCAAAACAGAAAGCACCATAACAAATTGTTACGATCCTGACGTTACCGCAGCACGTCTATAATTTTCAAACAAAAACTATGAAATTCAAGCACGTTACTAAGCCCTGGCTGTAGAATGAATTTCCTTCCAAACCACAACCCTGCAATACGTGTATGGGAGCGTAATAGGTATAACACTTTGAGTTATTTTGTTTTGTTATAGTTATTGTTGACAGAAAAAATTTGCACTTATCATGGACTCACATACGAGTATCATGGACATGGAGTTGGACAGAAGCGTAAACTTTTGCAGACCATCAAACTGAGAAAAGTTGCATATCTTGGTCATGTACTTAGGCATGACAGAAACAAGGTTCTGCAACTAATAATGAAAGGAAAAGTTGCTGGTAAAAGGAAAGCTGGTCGAAGGAAAAAATCGTGGCTGAGGAATAAAGGCCTCGCCAGGAATAAAGCTAAATATGCTGAGCTGACTGCCCACCTACACTAGTTGGAGAGGCACCTTAATAAGAAGATAGTTATTGTGACCTTTTTTGTAGCCGGCATAATCCCCACGGCTGGCCGGTTGTCGGAGTGATGGACGCCTACTGATAGGCAGTATGTACTTTACTAAACGGAATGTTATTTATAATTATATTAAGGGTGAAGTCGGACGAGCGTAATCTTGTGAGTTGTAAGTCGCGTTTTTTGAGTAGCTTAATTTACGCTGCATTAGGAAGATTTAGTAGCAGTAGAGCACCTTGTGAAAGTGTTCGCCCAGGGAAGTACTGCCTTGCCTATTTCTGCTACCAAGCAGTAATGTGAGTATTAATGCGTTCCGCTTTAGAAGAGTAAGGGTTAAAGCTCTGAATGGCACTGCAACTGTTATGGATATGCGTGTTGTGTCCCGTCACTTGATATTTAAAAAAAAGACAAGTCTGTGTG